TGACGAAGCCCCACGTAAGCGCCCATGGAAGGGTGACAGTGCTTCTGCTGGCAAAGGCAAAGCCCCAGCGAAGACGGCTAAATTGTCTAAGACCAAACCTACTTTGGCTACAGAAGCTGACCCCTTAAAGGGCTCAACCTCTGACTATCACCTTCGAGTGATGGACGATTACGATGCTTATTCAGATGAGGATCCTCCACGTGATCCTTCCTCTTCTGAATTTGTTACGGAAACCTTCCTTCTACCCCAAGATCAGTCCTTTCAGGACGCTGATCCCATGCCCAATACTAATTTAGATTCTACTAAAGATGATATCCTACTGGATACCAAAGGGCGTCCACTTTTTGATCCACGCTGTATCAGACACCCTCGTTCAGCGGAGTGGACACCTCCTGATCACATTGCAAAGTATTGCAGATTATGGCTTCGCAAACCTTTAGAAAAGGAGATTAGGGCCAAATTAAGAGCAGAGTGTCCACGGCCTATAATCCCTGATAAGGTGGCTGTCACCCCTGAGCTTGATCCACTCCTGGTCACTTTTCTAACTAAGACGGGTAAGGATCCCCGCAAGGGAATCGAAGTTGGCTTAAAAGCCACCCAGGACAAGCTGATGGATATAGCGGGCCCGCTTATCCAGATTTTCATAATTGCTGATGAGACGCTGGCAGGAGGCAATTTTGACGCGCACATGGTGCGTGAATGGGCACAAAGAGCATTATGCCTGTTAGGCAACGCCAATGTGGCAATGTCCGTTGAACGGCGTAAAGCCGTATTATATAAAATTGATGCCAAATTGGCAGAACTAGGCACCAAAGAACTTGGTCCAGAGGCTAACGGTTTATTATTTGGGGACAGGTTCATACGAGACCTGAATAAACACGTATCCGTGTTTACTTCCCTTAACAAGGCACAATGGAACCTTCGCAGGGTGTTCAGACCCCAGCGTTTTTCCGGTAGAGCTGGTCGCTATAGAGGCCGAACGACTGGCAGAGCTGCCTTCACGGGCTACAGGCCTCAACCAGCAGACTCATGGAATTCGGGCAATACCCGTTTCTACCACAAGCAGTTCTTTCCCTCTAGACGTTCCATCAGAGGACGTGGATATGCTTCCCTCCGGGGCCGCACTGCTTCAGGTAATAGACTTTCCTTATTCTCAAGTTCCTATTGCAGGTCGGTTAACCTTTTTTTCCCACAGTGGTCACTTTTAACTCAGGATCCATGGATCCTTCAAACTGTATCTGGTTTCCATATAGATTTTGCAAACGACCCTATACAGGAGTCTCCCCCTCCACCTCTGCACATGTCTCAAGAGGACAATGCGACCTTAGAGGCCGCGCTGAACGATCTTGTCGCCAAGGGCGCTATAGAACGTTCTCGGTCTCCTCACAGATTCATAAGCAACATATTTCTGGTCCGAAAACAGTCAGGGGACTTTCGACCAGTTATCAACCTGAAAGAACTGAACAATTTTATTGTTTACCAACATTTCAAGATGGAGGGTATCCACCTCCTTCGAGACCTACTCTGCGAGGGAGACTGGTTCTCCCGTTTAGACTTGACAGATGCTTACCTCACGGTTCCTATAACACCGGCCCATCGCTGTTTCCTACAGTTCCGTTGGCATCACGATTTATGGCAGTTCACATGCCTCCCCTTCGGACTTTGTTCCGCACCTTGGTGTTTCACCAAGCTGATGAAGCCGGTCATGGCTTTACTACGCTCTCAGGGGATTCGCTCCATCATATATCTGGACGATATCCTCCTTATGGCTCGAGACCCAGACACTCTGCGCCTCCATACGGATATGACCACAGCTCTGTTACAAAACCTGGGGTTCGTGATCAATGTCCAAAAATCCGTCCTCACCCCAACTCAAGTGGTTCAATTCCTGGGATTCCAAATAGATTCCATTTTGGCGATCTTACAACTCCCTTCAGTAAAGGTCAAGAACATCAAAAAAGACATCAGGAAAATTCTAGCCTCTTCGGCTATCCGTCTTCGCGACTTAGCTCGCATAATCGGACTGCTCTCCGCCTCAATTCAGGCGATCTTCCCAGCTCCTTTACATTACCGAGCAATGCAACGTCTGAAGACTCGCTCCTTACGTCACTCTGCGTCTTACGATCAACTGATCTCCTTGACAGACGAAGTCCGACTCGAATTGAACTGGTGGCTACACCATATGGATGCATGGAATGGGAAAGCGATCTTCGGATCACAGCCAGATTACATCCTAGAATCGGATGCCAGTCTTCTGGGCTGGGGTGCATCATGCGCAAATCTCTCTACCGGAGGTCCTTGGTCCCCATCAGAACGGGCATTGCACATCAATTGCCTCGAGTTGATTGCCGGGTCCTTTGCCATTCGCAGTTTCGCGAAGGACTCCTACAATTGTTCCCTAGTACTGAGAATGGACAACATCTCAGCTGTTCAATACGTGAATCGTTTAGGGGGATCCCGTTCCAAAATGCTCTCAGACCTCACAAAAGAACTGTATCAATTTTGCCTAGACAGGAACATCTCCCTTCGAGCGGAGTATCTGCCAGGTTCCGACAACTTAGTCGCAGATTGGTTCTCTCGACACTGGAGAGACTCCAGCGACTGGCAATTAGACCCACACGTTTTTTACCATCTCCATCTTCTTCAGGGTCCTTTCAGCCTCGACCTGTTTGCGTCTCGTCTGAATCGACAGACGGACGCATTTTTCAGTTGGTTGCCGGATCCGACGTCTCTGGCAGTAGATGCCTTCCTTCAAGCTTGGCCAATGACCGGAGCTTATGCCTTTCCCCCGTTCTCCATGATCCTTCGCACTCTCCATCATCTCAGGACTCAGGGGGCCACAATAACACTGCTGACCCCTTTGTGGCGTACCCAACCATGGTTCCCCAATCTCTTAGAAATGTCGGTGAATTATCCACTACTACTACCTGTCACACACGATCTTCTCAAAGATCCCGCAGGCAATTTTCACCCTCTTGCGTTGCAGGGTCATCTCCAGCTAGTGGCCTGGACTGTTTCAGGGGATCCTGGGATGCCACAGGACTTTCGGAGACTGCTAGAGCACTCTTATGGGACTCATGGGCCCCCGGGACTAGACGCTCTTACCTCTCAGCCTGGCGAGTTTGGCATCGCTGGTGTTTGGAAAGGGGTTTTGATCCCGTTTCAACTTCTTTGATTAATGTTATGAACTTTCTGTCCTCTCTTTTTGATCAGGGTAAATCCTACAGATCCATTAACGTCTTTCGTTCAGCAATCTCGGCAGCTCTTGGCCCCGTTGATAATACAGCAATAGGTAAACACCCCTCCATCTGTAGACTGTTGCGTGGCATTCGTCTTGCTCGACCTCCTGCCCCAAAATATTCACATTTTTGGGATGTTGCTCTTGTTTTGTCCTTCCTGGAGACTTGGCCACCCAATGAAGTGCTCCCTTTACGACAACTGTCGGCCAAATTAGCTCTTCTTCTCTGCTTGGTTTCTTTTAGGAGAGTGTCTGATATTCAGGCATTTGACTTTCATGCTATTGATTTCACGCCCCAGGGTGTACGTTTTAACATTTCTCGCCGCACTAAAACTAATTCTTTAACAATTACTTACCCTTATTTTTCTGACAGACCGTCGCTCTGCGTTGCTCGCTGTGTCCAACAGTACGTTGTCTCTACATCACCTCTACGTACCCCTACGGGCCCCCTGTTTATCTCGTATGTGCGACCACACAAACCAGTGTCTTGTCCCACGATTGCCCGCTGGATTAAATGGCTTCTAGGTCTAGCGGGCATAGACTCATCTTTTGGAGCTCATTCTGTCAGAGGTGCGGCTGCATCCTTCGCCTTTATGGCCGGGGGATTCCTCGCAGACATCCTAAAATGCGCTGACTGGTCTCGAGAGTCTACCTTCCGTACCTTCTATTTTCGACAATCGTCCCATGCTTCCTACTCTTTGGTTTCCACGCTTTAAAACAGCAAATATGAAGCCTCCTGTCTTGCCATAAAATTCGGGATTATTCTAGCTTTAGCGACTGAATAATCTAAATTTTATTAAAGACAGGAGGCGAATATTTTCCCACCCTATTTATCTCCCACCCCAGTTTTTTTCTTTTTATCAAGTCGCATGTATCCTTAAAATTTTTCAAGTTTTCCTTGTATAGACTTATATATGTCTAACTGTTTTGTTCCCGTTTATTCTGGTTAGGTGCTTATTAATCTGCCTGGTTTTCTGACTATTTTAGAAATTTGCAATAGTTATACTCATAATATCCAGGGGGTGGATCTGTGTATATAGATATCTTGCGGACACCCAGTCCAAGTACCCATACTTTCACGATCTTTCTCTGTCTTTTAGTGTGAAGTTTCTCTACATGAGCCACGAAGACTACGTTCCCTTGGTCTCTAATCTCGGCTGCGTTTGTTGGTTTACATGGTTGATGACTTACTCAAGTTTACACGGTTGACTACACTTATGATCGGCTGCATCAGAAAGAGGATTTGGGAGGAGCCTGACAGACTGTTATGTTCTAATATGTGTCCTGATTGGTTGATTTTTTTCTCTCACTTATGTTAACTGTTTCTTTGCTGCTGGGAGGTTCAGTAAAGAAGGTTTAGCAAATATGAAGCCTCCTGTCTTGCCATAAAATTTAGATTATTCAGTCGCTAAAGCTAGAATAATCCTGAATTTGCTACAATTTATCGTGTAAATAGAATCTCTCCGTTTTGTTGCAGTATCAGCTCTCATTTCTTTAGGGATTTACTGTAATGCTGTTGGTAAGTTTCAATGTTAGGAATTGTGCACTTTGCTGGAGATTTATAATAATGTCCCAAAGTACTATGGGGAGCAGTTTCAGTCCATTTTTTTTTTATTTTTAAATAATTTTTTTTTATTGAGTTTTATAATGACCAGGTCCACATAAAACACTGAATTAAACAAACAAACAAACAAACAAACAAACCCCCCCTGGCATGGCATGGCAGGGCAGGGCAGGGCATGTCCCATAGTAACTCAGATAACTATCCCAGAACTCTGGGATCCTCCCACTGCATCCCATCATGCCTTTCGGCGCACCATAGAGTTCTTTCCGTGTAGTGCCAGCCGGGGCTGCGTCTCTTCCTCTCTGTGGTGCGATGGCGGGTGTGGAAGTGCCGCGGGAGCCCCATGGCCCGGAGGAAGACGAGAAACAAATGAACGGAGAGGTGGAGGAGGAGGAAGAGGTCACGGCTAACGGGGAGGTTAGCGCCAGCAAGAAAAAGAGGAAGAAGAAGAAAAAGAGTAAACCAGGTGAGGTCAGGAGTCCGGCCCCGAGCGCATGGAGGGGGAGGGGGGCACATGGGTCCGGGCCCTAACGTGGGGCCCCTGGTGACTGGCTCCTAGCGTGGGGCCCCTGAGGACGGGCTCCTGCATTGGGGCCCCTGGTGTCTGTCCCCTAGCGTGGGGCACCTGAGGACGGGCTCCTTGCATTGGGGCCCCCGGTGACTGTCCCCTAACGTGGGGCCCCCGGTGACTGTCCCCTAACGTGGGGCCCCCGGTGACTGTCCCCTAACGTGGGGCCCCCGGTGACTGTCCCCTAACGTGGGGCCCCCGGTGACTGTCCCCTAACGTGGGGCCCCCGGTGACTGTCCCCTAACGTGGGGCCCCCGGTGACTGTCCCCTAACGTGGGGCCCCCGGTGACTGCTCCTTGCAATGGGGCCCCGAGGACGGGCTCCTTGCATTGGGGCCCCCGGTGACTGTCCCCTAGCGTGGGGCCCCCGGTGACTGTCCCCTAGCGTGGGGTCCCTGTGGACAGGATCTTCTAGCGTGGGGCCCCTACATAGAACCTGTGGTCTAACCCTGTAAAATAAACCCTTTCATGGTACACACTTTATTATTAGAGTGCTTGTAGCTTTCTACTGGCTTGACCTACTGTTAGGGAGCAATCCATATATATTTTTAAGTGTTTAAATCAACGTAGATACATTAGATGGAATCCTATCAAGTCCCAGGCGACTTGCTAATAAATTGTTTCAGCAACTGAGATTATTCACATTTATTGAATAGGGCAAAGAGGGCAGTTTGCAGCTCAAGCAGGTCTTATGATTTGCTAGCACTGTGCTTTCTGGGGACTGTTCTTTGCTTTTCTTGGAACACACCTGGGACAGCATGACAAGCTCGAATTCAAGACTGTCTCACCGATCACTGGACTTTGGGAACTGCCAACAAATACAACTGTTTTATTGGACCCTGCAGGATCGAGGAAGTGGAAAGCATTTTAGAATGGATGTGGTGGGACAGAGGAGACAGGACTAAAATGCGAAATGCTCCAAAAGGTTTGATTTATGATTTGCAAAGATTTTCTACAAATTTGGGCATGCAAACAAAAAGCTTTAATAATGCATTTAACCTGAAACTAAATGGAAGCCGTTTATCACCAGTTGACGCTTAACATATGATAGAAACCTTTCATGCAGAATCTTTTTTTTACGGTGTTTAAAGGAATAGCCAAAATACCATCTGTATCTAAAACCTCTTTCAAGTAAGTTTCTTTTTGATCTCGGACCCCCCGAGGACCCCACGGACTGGGCTGACATCTGGGCATCCATTAAATCTATCTCAATCTGCGTCACCCATCAAGAGCAGGCATACAAAATGCTCTTCAGATGGTACCTCACACCCTGCCGTTTAAAGGCTATGAAACAAAGCCCCACTAACCTATGTTGGAAATTGTGTGGCGAAACCGGCACGTTCCTCCATTGCTGGTGGACATGCCCAAAACTCACCCCCCTATGGGAAAAAATCACGACTCTCCTAACCAGAATACTAGACAAACCGGTCCCCCTGGACCCATGGGCTCTACTACTATCCAAACCCTTAGACATCCTCACCCGTAACGAGAACAAACTCATAGCGCGAGTGGCCTTAGCCACACGAAGAGCAATTGCGGAAAATTGGTCTACGCAACGTATACCCACTCACACCCAAATATACACGAAAATCACTGACAGCATAGATATGGACAGACTAACAGCGCAACTGCACGACACCCCAAAATCATTCCACAAAGTTTGGGACCCATGGATAGAAGGACACAGTGACCTTCCATGGTGAGCTGAGAAAACACTCAAATAACGCCATTAATGCACAACGAGAATGACGATAGTCACCCGCGCAGCCACCCCCAACCCCACCTGACCCATCTGGTACTCGGGAGGTCACCCAAGGGGGCAGCAACATCCAACCCCTCTAAGTGATCTTTCCCTTCCCCTTCAAATACCTTCTCCCCCCCCCCCAACCACCCAACAACCCTTCTGACTACAGCACCAGACTCCTATGCCTAGGTCTGCTGACTTAGCCGCAACCAAAGAGTACTCAAAGGCCGCACCACCTGAGAAAACAGATCCCCCTCCCTACCAAGAGAACTACCATCGACCCTTCTGGCTTGGCAAACCTACAAACTATATCACCTCTCCTCGTAGACATACTTCCAACCCGGACCAATATCCCCTCAGATAAACAGCGACCCCCCCGACGACATAAGTCCACTACCAAACGCCATGTAGGGTCACATTCACGACCTCACACTTACTAAGGCCCCCAAAGACAGACACAGTGCAAGCCTACAAGCTGCCGAGCCAGTTTATTGAGCAAACAAAGCAATGTCATACCATGTTGTCTTCAAACACATAACCAACCTCCTTTTTCTGTTAAAATATACACACGACTTTTGTATGTGAAATGTGCTAACTGTAAAATACAGAATCTCAAACTAGTGAACGGACAACAGGTCGACCACGGTAGGAAGGGTGCGACTCAATAACCAAGCCACCATTTGCCCACCCCTCATCCCTATCCTACCTTCCGTACTTTGTACCCCCGACCCACTGCCTACCCCCCCTCCCTGATCCTGGTCATGGAGACCTATTTGTATTCTCACACCTCCTTGGCAAATGTAAGATGAGTACTGTATGCAATATTGTACCCTATCCCCCTCCCTCTTCCTTTTTGTACCCCACCCCATCCTCAACACCAAACGATTGCAAAAGTTGATCTAACCATAGAATCTAGTTGTATACAAACAACATACGCTGTAACCAAAGATGTAATATCTGCATTCCTGCTCATATTGTTTGACTGTCGCTTTGAGTACATGCCTGTTATACAAAGATTGTAACACAAACTTTAACCCCACTTTTTTTTCTGTACCCCTTCCCCCAAAAAACAAAATCTTTACAAATAAAGAATTTTCAAAAAAAAAAGTAAGTTTCTTTTTTTTTTTCTTTTTTTTTTGTTCTCAGCCATTTTCCGTGGAGGGGACAAATCATATAATGCTTAACAACATTTTCAGATAGAGAATATCCAGTTTAACATAACATTGTCTACATGACACCTGGTAAGAGTCTGGCTGGTGAGCTGAGGGGTTTTTGTGGGTTTAAATAATCGCAATAATCTGCTATGGACGTTCTATCGTGTATATGGTCTGTGAACTGAGTGTTCCTCATTTGCTGGGTAGGTGAGGTGAGGTGGGGTGCATTGCCTTCCGCGTTAATGCGTGTGAATCAGGAGGCCCCTGCCAGAAGGTCAGAAGACCAATTATTATGTATTGTGTGATGTGGGGAGTAGGAACTATCAGAAAAATGTATGTGTAACACGCTGTGGACTAAATGCTGGAACTATGTGCTAGTGCCACGACCTGTAATCAGTTCTCAGTGGCCATGCGGGTTCATAATTTGGCAGGCTCCATAGCCTTAGGGGGTGAGTATCGCCTCTGTTGCTCCCCTTGGTTGTTATGAGGGCACAGAGGCGGGGGGTTTGGAGCCGATGTCTCTGCGGACTATCTCTGCTTAGTCGAAAAGTGAAAGGGAGAAACATAGCCTAGCTTTGCAAGCTTGTAAGAGTAAAAGAAAACCATCACAAACATAACCAAATTACCAAAAAAGGATAACTATAGGGTACCGGGCACAATTTAACTTAGTGTCCGGTTGGAGGTCTAACAGTTGGAGGATAGCGTTCTGGTATCTGGGGAGCTAGCCCTGTGCCTCAGGTAGGGGCTAATATTGGAGCGTGCCTTTGATGGTTTGGATGGTGTAGCCTGTGTCAGATCTCGCGTGTACAGAGCTGTAGAGGTACCCTTCATTGTGGGCAATGAGAAGGAGGCCCAGAGTGTCCAGTATGTCAGCCGCTTGTTGTAAGGTTTGTACCGAGTAGGTTGCGCCTCCTCTTTGTACTTGGAGTGTTCTCGGTGATCGCCATCAATATCGAAAGTCGTGGGCTCTGAGTAGGCTTGTGAAGGGTTGTAGGGTCTTCCTCCACTGCATAGTGTCTCCTGTGAGGTCTGCATAGAATGTGAGTTTCATGTTTTCAAAGACGTGGGTTGAGGCCCCTTTTAGAGCGGTTTGTACCAGCATTTTGTCCCTGAGGGTGTGGAACCGTACCACTACGTCTTGAGTGGCTGTTTCCGGGGCTCCTCTTGGTTTCGGAATCCGAAACCTTCAAAGGTAAGACTTTTTGCCTGTTTGGGTTGCAGGAGGGACTCCACCAGTCTTCTCATAAGGTGTGGGAGCTCCGCATTTGGTATCTCCTCCGAGAGCCCGTATACTTTAAGGTTTGTGCGGCGTATGGCATCTTCCATCTGTGTGAAGCGTTGCTCCAAAGTAGCTTGCTGCCGATCTAGGTAAGTAGCTAAAGCTCTCCAAACAGGTTTTCCTGTTTAGTGTAAATTTATGCTTTCAAAAGGATCAATACTAGGGCATTTATTTTGTTTGCACTTCAGATACAAACTAAAACAGAACATTTCTGTTAAGTTCCTTGCGTGTTTTTCTGGTCTTTCAGTTGTTTTCAATGAGAGCGTTGTATGTAGAAGCAATAGAGATGGTTGCAATATTTTGCTCATTGCGTGAGCAGCTGCCCTACATCTATTCAGATAAAATGTCTCTCTGGAAGAGTTAAATAAATTTATGGAGTAATCGTGCAAGCATTTATTTTTAATTTTTTTTTGCATTTGTTCACATTTTTGATCCTTGCCGTGTGTCAATTTTAATTTTGACTTTCAATTTGTGACATGCAGGAACGTCTTTGTAGTAATGAAAAGAAATAGGGTAGGTGTCCCTTAAAGTATATGAATTTAAGATCTTTGTCTAGTCAGGTTTTATGATAGTCTGTGTGCGTGTTAGCTTTTGATGTTACAAAGGTGTTGCTCTTGTTTAATTTGTCACTCTATTTTTTTTCGTGGATGTAGAATTTATTGTGAATCCATAGATTAAAATCTTTATAACGGCAAATTAAATACTGGGAAAATACCCTTTGAATTATGATGTTCTACAAAGATTGTGGTCCTGTAAAAGCTGTCTGTATGGAGAAGCTGAACACTCCCCAAAGAAATGCAGGTGAGCACTAGCCCTATGATCATCAATTCTGATGATCTCAGCCAGAGAAGGAGTAGGGGACCCAGTGAGACCAGCATGCCTGGGAATAAAGATAACTCATAACTTTTCTTTCTTTTTTAAAAATTATGTTTAATAGTATTGTTTGGGGGAGGGGTGAATGCTGATCTTAACTAGTTTATGTAAAACTCTAGCGCAACGTGTTCTTAACGCTAGTGTCTTCCCTCAAGCATTCTTCTCCATTATAGTGGATAATCCCTTTACTGATGTTTCCCTTATTCTCTGTTATAGTGGGTATCATTTAGCCCATTTATATCTTCTTTATTTTAATAAGTACACAGCTACATTATTGCGAGTATTGGAATTGAAGTGAAATTGTCAGCCTCAGGCTTGTCCAAAAAACAAAGTAATCTCTACTTTGTCTTATGCTATTTTTCTTAATATTAGTGAAATTCCAATGCACTTTGGATCAGTATTTCATCAAGCATATATGTGTGTGTGTGTATATATATATATATATTATTATGCATAAACCCTAAAGTTATACTTTCATATTTGAAAATATCTCTATTTGATTCATAATCAAAGACTCTTTGTCATATAAATGTGCTCTAATCATTGTAACATTCTGCTTTTATATACTGTCAGATCAGATAATTGATTTTGTAGTTTTATTAAGTTTTTCTTTTGTAGTTTTCTATCAATTCAATAGAAAGTAATCTACGCAGTGTTCTTTCACACATTTATAAGACTTGTATTGTCCTTTTTGGCAGTCGATAAGTTACTGACTATAAATAAAACATTCCACAGCATAAATGTAGTGATGTTGGTGTAATAGGACCTCATGGCTACTGGCAGTTATTTCTCATCCCCCTATGATGTTTACATTTTACTGCATTCTTTTATATTTCCATGGGTAGATCCTATTCTCAAATATCGTACTGCACAGTGGTTGATGACCTCCTTCTCCATAAGGAACAGTTACATTGACATCATGTGGGGTCCCTAATCTCAGTGTAGATTTGTCCAAAATAACCTGGAGTTACACGACCATGCTGCAGCTGCCACCATTAACTCTGCCCCCTCCTGATAATGATATCGCAGAAGAGGTGATTCGGAGACCAAAACAGCTCCGTTCTGTCTCTGCAGCTTTTCTGCTGGCACATCACTTATTGGGAGAGGGACTGAATTAATGGTGGCAGCTGCAAATAGTTGCTGCCTCTTGGGAGTACATTTGTATCCCAGTACTTAGTTTGACAGAGTCCTAGCCAAAATCATAATTATAAATGTGCTGTACTACAATGCCTAATTCTCAAGCATATATTCAGAAGAAACAATGTAACCATTGGATTCTGGAGAAATTCACAAACAGTTTAACCTTCTTGGTTTGTGATGATGCCTCCAGAACCCCCAATGACATAAATTTTCTCTTAAAGGAACACTATAGTCTCCAGAACAATTGCAGCTTAATGTATTTGTTCTGGTAAATATAATTTCCTTGAGGCTTTTTGCAATAAACACGATCTTTTCAGAGAAAATACTGTTTACATTACAGCCTATGAATACCTCCACTGGCCCCTGCTCAGATGGCTGCTAGAGGTGCTTCCTGGGGCAGTGCTGCACACTTTCAGCAACTCCACCCTCTGCATGGAGATACTGAACTTTCCTCACAGAGATGCATTGATTCAATGCATATATATGAGTAGATGCTGGTTTGCACAGGACTCTGTTTGGCTTGTGCTGGCTCTGCCCTTGATCTGCCTCCTTAACAAACGTAGCCAATCCAATTCTTCCCTATGTGAAAGCATTGTGATTGGCTTTGATCAACACTTCTGATGATGTCAGCCAAGCAGGCAGAGCCGCCAGCAGCAGCAGCAGACAGAAATAAAGGTAAGATTTTGCTATATTTGGGGGTAAGATGGGGTTAGGGTGGCTAGATGGTGTTTTTAACACTATAAGGTCAGGAATTGGTTAGCAGTGATTTGCTGAGGGTTCTTAGAACTCCAGACCAGTGAAGACCTGTCCATAGGGACAACTGGTGCATGTCCCATCAGTGTTTCTTGCAAAAAAAAAACTAAACTATAGAATTATTTTATTTATTTAAGGAACCAAAAGTGTATAAGCGCTATAGAGGTGATGAGGTACTCGGTACAGCTGCACTGACCACCGTGACACACAAATGTATACACAGATAAGAATATTTATTTTTTTCCTTACTGTTGGGCTCTTAACTGGTTTTTATGAAGTAATACCTGGTTTGCACAGATATTTGTCTGTGTGATAAGTTTTCGGTCCCTTTTCTATATTCGTACTGCTGTTCCCCTTGTTATTCTCCTCTGCTGTTGCTAGGTAGAGTTTATATAAAAAAAAAAAAAAAAAAAAGTATAATCAAATTGTTGGGGGCGTGCTCTACTTCAAATATTGACAAACTAATGCATTAAAGGACCACTATAGGGACCCAGACCACTTCAGCTCAATGAAGTTGTATGGGTGCCAGGTCCTCCTGGTTTTAACCCTGCAGCTGAAAACATATCAGTTTCAGAGAAACTATGTTTACATTGCAGCGTTAATCCAGCCTCTAGTGGCTGTCTACCTGACAGCCACAAGAGGCCTCTTCCGCGACTTTCAGTGAGAAAATTGCACCCTATAGTGCCAGGAAAATGGGTTTATTTTCCTGGCACTAGATGATCCCTTTAAGGGACCAGCTTGGACAAAATAACCTCCTATGTGCTTTCTTAGCTTGAGGATTTAAACCGTTCCCAGTTACATCTGGTGTTTCAAATACAGACAGAGGAAGCAGGAACTGCTGCCAGGCAGGCAAGCCATGGATATGCTTATAGCAGTCAGGTGATGCTCTAAGCCAACCAGCGGCTCCACTGCCAGAGGTCTCTGCTTCCTCTGTCTGAATTTGAGACTCCAGATGTCGTTGAGGACAGCCAGGACGGCACTCTTTGAGGTTAAACCCCTCAAGATAAGGATGCGCTAGGGACATTGCTGGCGCCATAACACCACTTCCTGGTGGCTTTCTGACTTTAGGTCGCCTAACTGATGCTGGCCATCTGAGTGACTGCACCTAAATATGTTACTAGGCAGCAATGTAAACACACTGCCTTTTCTCTGAAAACACGGCGTTTTCATTGATGAGCCTGCAGGGACAGGCAGACACCAGAACTATTACATTAAGCTGTAGTTATTATAGTGACTATAGTGTCCCTTTAAAACCGGATATTTTCATATGTATATACAGGCACACACATTAAACTGCAAAAGCAGATTCCGTTGCACTTGCATTAATTACTGCCTAGTTGATGGCAATATGCATTAAGGAAAAAACGTAATTGTTAGTTGGAGAAATTTAACATTATCGTGAGCTTGTCTTCTCTCACACATTGGATTTACTGCATTTCAGGACCAGATACTGAGAAAGACACGGGAGCTGCTACCACAGCTGTTGAGGAGGCAACAAAACAGTTGGAGAAGCAAACCCTAGAAAACAAGGATGACGAGGAAGAAGGTATGCACTCACTGCCACTATGGATACAAAATGCTGCCTGACGTAGTCTGACTAGTGTAGTTTAATCGCCTCTCGGTTTAATAATTAAGGTGGAGACTTCTTTCCCTAACTTAACTTTTTAATTTTTTTCTGCTTAAGATGGTGAGGGTGATGTTGACGGAGCAAACGGGAAAAAGAAGAAGAAAAAGAAGAAGAAAAAGGGCTGTAAGTGCATATCACTTTGATTGCTTACTGATTAAAGCAGGTTTCACACCTATGTGAGAATTTTTTACTCAAGGAGTTGTCAGTAGAATTTGAATATTGTTTGGTGTACTCTCAGCTTTTAGTGACGGTTATATAATATGCATGCAGGAGTTCTTTTCTCCCTCTGTCACTGAAGCAGCCTGTAAATTCCTAGGTTAACTGATGTCATTTAATCTGTCTGTTCTTGTTATATTCTTGACGTGTCCTTGTTATATTTCCTACAGCCAAGGGCCAGACAGATCCACCCTCAATCCCGATTTGCGATCTGTACACAGGTGGTGTATACCCAAAAGGACAAGAGTGCGAGTACCCAACCGCACAAGATGGGTAGGTATCTTGTGAAATTAATTTTAGTACAATAGACCGTTATATAGGAAAGAGATTCCCATGGTTTTCTAAGCCCCCGGCCCTTTATCTGTATCTCTTTAGATTAACAAATTGAAATGCCAAATGCATGTTTGTAGGGAATAGGATCAGGTTTACAAGTTCAGTGCTACAGAGGACCTGTTTAGATACATTTTACATTCCACTGATCAACCCTAATTTAAATGCAAAGTGTTTTTGGTTTTTCCTTTCTTCAGACGTACGGCTGCTTGGAGAACAACTAATGATGAAAAGAAAGCTTTGGATCAAGCTAGTGAGGAAATCTGGACTGATTTTAGACAAGCTGCCGAGGCTCACAGACAAGTTCGGAAATATGTCATGGGCTTTATCAAACCAGGCATGACAATGATCGAGATCTGGTAATTTATTTTATGTGCTCTGGGTACAAGTCTTTTATGATGTTTACATGTGAGACAGAGTTGTCCACTGCATTTCACACACATTGTCTTCAGCATTTGTGCCAAACTCCTCTAAATCACTCTTTGACCAGAGTTCCACACCACTTACCAGAGATTTTACAAAAATTGAAAAAGATCATGTAAAATTAAAATGAACAAAAGTACAATTGCTGTAAATAAGTTGTGTAACCTACAGTGTACTAAGCTGTTACACTCCAATGTAACTGCAATGTTTGCTACCCCACCCCTTATCTTCATCCTGTACCCCAACTTCTTTGAAAAACTGAAAAACCACCAAAATAAAGAATTTACAAAAAAGAAAAAAAAAATTCAGGAGTAGGTCAAATGTGCACTGGTCAATATATTAGTTACAAGAAATGAAAGTTTAAAAAAAAAACTGTTTAAACAATCATCTCAACACAGTATTTACTATACATGTTTATAACCTGTCATACTTTGTGTAAAAATATGCAGACTACCTGTCTATGTAAAACTTAATGTAACTGCAGAACCAGTTTGCTGGTGTTTCTTGAAATATGCTATAATAATTGTATTATGTTTTTTTTCTTTGTTGTAGTCAACTCGTTCTTAAGAGAGAGATATATATATATAGATATATATATATATATATATATATATATATATATATATATATATATATATATATATATATATATATATATATATATATATATATATATATTATATCTCTATCTATCTATCATACACACACATTCTTGCCACAATCGGCAAGTTGTTTTAAACATGCAATCTCTCTGTAATTCTCTCTTTCAGTGAAAAGCTTGAAGACTGTTCTCGTAAGCTGATTAAAGAGAATGGCCTGTATGCCGGCCTTGCATTCCCTACAGGCTGCTCCCTGAATAACTGTGCAGCTCATTACACTCCTAACGCTGGGGACACCACAGTATTACAATATGACGATGTGTGCAAAATTGATTTTGGAACCCATATCAATGGTATGTTTAGCATGCAGTTCGTGCAAATATTCTCACTAGTGCAGCAACACTTAGCAGTACAATGATGGATCTTCTGTTGCCAGTTACAGATAATATGTGGATCAAGATAGATATATATATATATATATATATATATATATATATATATATATATATATATATATATATATATATATATAATCTATATCCTTTATATTATCCTCTAGCTCTATTTTTGGGGTGTGATACACCCTGGCTAGCTGTCATTAAGCAGAATTTAGAAGTACCCCTGGGTAATACATAATTAGAAACCTGACTGAATGAAATAAGAATTCCAAGCATGATGTAAAAGTCCATAATTGCATAAAAAAAGAAAACCTGTAGATGTTTTAAAAATAAAAAAAAACCCTTTGTGAGTGAAATATATATTGATGATTTAAAAAAATTTTTTTTTTTTTAAATTCTTTATTTTTTTAATGCATATGGTTGCAACAGACATGCTTGTGGTGCCCCAACGGCAGTCCACACGCTGGTTTCAAAAACAAGAGGTACAGTGGGGAATGGGTAAACAATGCACATTTTAAAGTATAGTATTGATTGACATAGTTAAATTAACAGGTTCGAGTAGTAGGAGTCTACGCTTGTAAGGACACATGTGTTGCAAGAATACAACGCTGGTTATAAGTGCCGTATACTATGCATTGACATGCAGTCACCGTTTAGTACAAGATATAGATTAACCATTAGGCTAAATCTATGTATGTCGTTTTAGAGAGGCTAGAGAGATTGGAACAATTAGCAAAACTGTCACCATGGTGTGCCTGGGTACCCTGTGCCACCTCCGTGGGAAGGGGTTAGCATTCTGGTGGGCCCAAGGCCTTTCATATGAGGACAGTCCTGTTTTTATCCGATACCTGCTCTGTTGTGTCCATGTGGTAGGGGCCAAGCGTCCTTCAGAGCAGGCATCAGGGCATGTTTTGTCCATGTTTTATTCTGTGTCGTTTGCTGGGTTCCTCTGAGTTGCAGCCTTGGTGTGGTAGGCTTGTCGCTTTTGGTCATCCGCAGGTAGGTGTCCGCCATGTTTAGGAGCTGGGTGTTATTCACGTGGATCCACCGCTTTCCAGGCTGTCCTGTTACAGACTCAGTGATGGGCGAGCACAGGTTCGGTCTGTTATTGGATGTGTCTCGCTGGGCAGTTGGCGCATTCACCTCGGGCAGGAGTGGTTCGCTGCACAGCGTTCTGTCCCCTCAGTGCCGCTGCCCCCTCAAGCCACCTGTCTCTTGTATTGTTGGCTGGAGTGGTTGAGGGGGTTTGCACGGGTTTTGCTGCTTCCCTGTGTGGTGGGATCGGGCGTTAGGGGCTATTATATTGGTAGTGAGCACCAGGAGGGAGGGAATCTTCTCCTTGCTGTCTGTGCATGCCACCTTTTTTTAATATAGTACTTTAAAAAAAAATACTAGTTCTAGAATTAATCACAAATAGGCTGCACCCTTGAGTTTGTAATGTTCAGGCAAATATATGTGCAAAGACAGACAGAATGTATGTTTGCCGTTTGCCTGCATTACTTCACGTGAACCTAGCTTGGGATTCTTTGAGCCATATATAGAATTTTTAATCTGTGTGTCCCGATTTTAGCTACCCTGTTGCATGATGGGTAAAGAGGCAGTTTTAGCGATCATGGGGATAGTCGGCAAAACAAGGATGACAGAATTAAAATAAAGACGCATTCATATTTGGTCCCATATTCCTGGAAACCTCTCATACGCTATATACTATTGTATATATGTTCATTTTCCACATTACAAAAAGTCTCTCTTCATTCTCTTCCACAGGCCGTATAATTGATTGTGCTTTCACAGTGACGTTCAATCCAAAGTTTGATAAGTTGCTAGAAGCTGTCAAAGATGCTACAAATACTGGAATCCGGGTATGTTTCTTTTTAAAAAGCTGCATTTAAATGGAGGAAAAGACGTATTGTGTGAAATCATTTCGATAAAGACTACACCTTAAGAGGTATAATCACCGAACAGATTCTCTTATCCAGATAAACTGTGTAAACACTCCTGTGTTTCATGTCAATGTAGAGAATATGGAATAGAAAGAAATAAGTTGACGCATTAACAGTGATGCAGTGTAAAACCTAATTTCAAGATTAGTTAAGGAATTTAACCCCTTAAGGACCAAGCTTCTGGAATAAAAGGGAATCATGACATGTCACACGTCATGTGTCATTAAGGGGTTAAATGTAGACATGAACCATGTAAAAAGTGGTTAGTAAACCCCCCCTTCTCCACCTTGTAAAGCATTCCTGCTCCTCTATTTTCTATAACTTTAGAGAACAAGTTCTTATTATCACAGAAAATGGTATGGTTGAATTACTAGCATGTGCAAAACTGTTATCAAAATTTAAGAAAGCTTGACTCCTGATGTAATCTCTCTTGCTTTTTTTGTTGAAGTTCTCTTTGCTTAAGAACACTGTGACTCTATACAAAAAATAATAAAAATAATTTGCTTTGAGGGTATGGGATTGGTTTCTCAAAAGCTCTTTTTCTTCTGTTCTGGTAGTGTTCTGGTATTGATGTACGCCTGTGTGACGTAGGAGAAGCAATCCAAGAAGTAATGGAGTCGTACGAAGTGGAACTGGACGGCAAAACATATCAAGGTGTGTTGAAGTCTTACATATGTTTTGGAAATACATATGTATTTTACTATCTACATTGTAATTGCTTGATTAACATGAAGATTAAGAACCGCAAAACAAATGCACAAAGCTCTAGTCGTGAATACATATTTTCTTTGTAACTATGCACTGGACTTGGTACACAGTTTCTTAATGACTCTAACACTGAAGTCCACGGTCATTGTAAAGAACACATGGCCAATTTATCAGTTTAAAAAAAAATATAATGATTTTATTAACTGTATTCTCAAAAAAGCAAAGAATTTTGTGTTTGGGCCTTGTAGACTATAAAGTGGGTATGTTTTCCTCTTGGGATATATGTTTGGCGGAGGCTTAGGTTAATTATATCTGAATAGTGTTTTTTTTTTTGTGAAGATTAAACAATTTGCTCTTTTCTGTGTAACAGTGAAACCCATTCGTAACCTTAATGGCCACTCCATTGGGCAATACAGAATACACGGAGGAAAAACTGTACCGATTGTAAAGGGAGGAGAAGCAACAAGAATGGAGGTAAAGACTGTGCTGATCTGCAAACAATAAGGATTATTTCACATTTGTAGCCATCTTTAATCTATTCTAGGAGATTACTTTTTTTTTTTTTTAAGATAGAGTTGATACAGGGATGTAATCTCACGATTACATCACGATAAGTTGTCACCACTGTTTCAGAAGCATTATTTTATTTTCAGGAAGGTGAGGTGTACGCCATTGAAACTTTTGGTAGCACAGGAAAAGGAATAGTTCACGATGACATGGAGTGTTCTCATTACATGAAAAATTTTGATGTTGGGCATGTGCCAATACGGTAAGAGAAATGTCATTCATACAAAAATAAGACAGAGAAAAGAATTGCCAGAAGATGTTAACATTTGTTTATTTTTTTAGGCTTCCACGAGCGAGACACTTGTTAAATGTCATCAATGAAAACTTTAGCACTCTTGCATTCTGCCGCAGATGGCTGGACCGACTTGGAGAGAGTAAATACCTAATGGCTCTTAAGAATCTTTGTGATTTGGGGATCGTGGACCCGTATCCTCCTCTGTGCGACATAAAAGGCTCCTACACGGCACAGTTTGAGCACACAATATTGTTACGCCCAACTTGCAAGGAGGTTGTGAGCAGAGGAGATGACTATTAAAGCTAACTGATGCTAAACACAGCACTGTTTCTAAATACTGCTTCTGTAGAAGCATGTGGCATAAAAGTAATTTGGTATGTGGCTTTCTTATCAGTGGACACTTGAATTTTTTTTTTTCCAGATTTGAAAATTGGAATAAACCATAAGACTGATCAGAGACATAGCTTTACTAACCGTGTGCTCCTATAAAAAGACAGATAATTCATGTGCCCACGTGTCATATTTGCTTTTGGTTCAGGGAAAAATGTAATGAAATCCAAATTTAATTTAAGAAGCTTTTGGAAATATTTATATTAACCTATTACAGCAAGTTTCTTAAACTTTATTTGTGCAGATAATCTTAATGCATTTTAATTCCCTGATAACCATTTTGTAAAAAAAAATAAATCTATAATAAAGTTACATTTTTAGGTCAAATCTTTCTTTTTATTCTTGGTGCAAATAAGTGCTTATTTTTTATTTATTTTTTAACCCATATTTTGTTTCTTTATTAAAGACCACAATGTGAGGTTAAAGGTTAAACTTACACAGACAAATTGTGATAACTATTAATATTCTTAACATTATCCAAAAAACAAAAATCAGCCACACCCACTCATGTCAAAAAGACTTCCTTATCAAATGTATAAATACAGTCTCTGCCCCAACAGCAATGAGTGAGCAGCTTTTAATTTACAGCTTGGCTACAGACATAGAAACAAAAGACATGTAGTGATATCCTTTCCTTACTATATGTTTTGTAGTTCAGATCACAAAGTGCTGTCTGGCTGAGTTGTGCACATACATTTGATAAGAGAGTCTTAAAGATTTGATAATGCAAAAAGTACAGCATATTAACACTAAAGGACCCTGGCCACCTACAGTGAGGGGGGGGAAAGTATTTGATCCCCTGCTGATTTTGAAGGTTTTCCCACTGACAAAGGATCAGTCTATAATTTTAATGGAGATGTATTTTAACCCCTTAAGGACCAAACATCTGGGGAAAAAAGGGAATCATGACGTAACACATGCCATGTGTCCTTAAGGGGTTAACAGTGAGAGACAGAATAACCCCCAAAAAATCAAATATGCATGTCAAGTTATAAATTGATTTGCATGTCAATGAGTGAAAAAAGTATTTGACCCCTTCGACTTAGTACTTGGTGGCAAAACCCTTGTTGGCAATCACAGAGGCCAAATGTTTCTTATAGTTGGCCACCAGGTTTGCACACTTCTCAGGAGGCTTTTTGTCACACTCCTCTTTGCAGATACTCTCCAAGTCATTAAGGTTTCAAGGCTGACGTTTGGCAACTCGAACCTTCAGCTCCCTCCACAGATTTTCTATGGGATTAAGGTCTGGAGACTGGCTAGGCCACTCAAGGACCTTAAAGTGTGTCTTCTTCTTGAGCCACTCCTTTGTTGAATTGGCTATGTGTTTTGGGTCATTGTCATGCTGGTATACCCATCCACAACCCATTTTCAATGCCCTGGCTTAGGGAAGGAGGCTCTCACTCAAGATTTGTCGGTACATGGCCCCATCCATCGTCCCTTTGATGTGATGCAGTTGTCCCCTTAGCAGAAAAACACCCCGAAAGCATAATGTATCCACCTCCATGTTTGACGGTGGGGATGGTGTTCTTGGGGTTATAGGCAGCATTCCTCCTCCTCCAAACACGTTGAGTTGATGTCCACGACCTTGATTTTGGTTTTATCTGACCACAACACTTTCACTCAGTTCTCCTCTGAATCATTCAGATGTTCATTGGCAAAGTTCAGACGGGCCTGTACATGGTCTTTCTTGAGCAGGGGGACCTTGCTGGCGCTGCAGGATTTCACTTCTTCACGGAGTAGTGTGTTACCAATTGTTTTCTTGGTGACTTTGGTCCCAACTGCCTTAAGATCATTAACAGGATCCCCCTGTGTAGTTCTGGGCTGATTCCTCACTGTTCTTATGATCATTGAAACTCTACAAGGTGAGATCTTGCATGGAGCACCAGGTCGAGCAAGACTGACTGTTATTTTGGGTTTCTTCCATTTGCGAATAATCGCACCAACTATTGTCACTTTCTCACCAAGCTGCTTGGAGATGGTCTTGTAGTCCATTCCAGCCTTGTGTAGGTCTACAATCTTGTCCCTGACATCCATGACAGCTCTTTAGTCTTTGCAATGGTGGAGAGTTTGGAATCTGATGCTTCTGTGGACAGGTGTCTTTTATACAGGTAACAAGCTGAGATTAGTAGCACTCCCTTTAAGAGAGAGTCCCTAATCTCAGTTTGTTACCTGTATAAAAGACAACTGGGAGCCAGAAATCACTCCAACATGCAGATCAATTTATAACTTTATAACTTTTTTGACATGCGTTTAAAAAAAATATATATATATATTTTTTTTGTTCTGTCTTTCACAGAACATTCAGGCTTACCACTCTTTTCACAGGGGTTATGAAGAGGAATCACTACGAGCAAATGCTGTAATTCCTCCATTTTAATGATAATGCACTGTCTCACTAGAAACTGCTCATTGCTTGACAGACTACAAAATGTAGTTCCTTAACCAATTGCTAAAAATTATATCCCAGACCAAAACATATTGGCAAATGTCTTATGAATTTTTTATTCTTTTGTAAATACGGTTTTTATTATTAGAGTATTTTCACAGAATAAAGAAATATAGAAGTAGTGGGTCTCACAGGACCCTACCTTTAGACTACAGTATGTAGCATAACATGAAGCCATTCAGTATACAGTTTCCAATTATTATAATTCAATCATTTTGTGTTATCTTCGCATCAAGAAATCGTATAGTGGAGTGCAGGGAATTAAGTGAGCTTTAAAATATGCGATCAGGTCATCTTGCCATTTTCACCACTAAAAGTAGGTGTGTTGCCATCCCATGGTCCAAGGAAGTATATTAGTAGGACATTATTATAGTGTTATAATCACTCATCCAGAGAACTGAATGAGTTATAGATATGGGTCAGCTCATCAAATAAGCTCAGTAAAGGTATATAGAAGAGTTCTCGGTCCTTTTTGAAGTGCAGAAACCCACCAGGTAGGTGTAGCAATGAAGCCGTAATAGATGAGACTCCGTAGATGCATGCCACTATATTCCAACTAGCTGAGGGGTCAGGGGTGGTTGAGTGAGCAAGTACAAGGGCTGTGGTAAAGTGTAAATGTAAAGTTTGTGCATGAACAGATCTGTTTAAGAATTACTATGGCTGTGACTACAAGCAAGCACTCCATTCCAGTGTAGAGGTCAGACACCAACTACGAATGGCAGTTCTTAAAAAAGGGACACAATACATTTACCACCCTTAGTAGAGCAACAGAATACATCATCACATAATGCCTACATCTTCCCACGGTGCCTCGTTACTTAGCAAAAGGAAGGAATCCTTTTATCCCTGCATGCTACCTTATCTGTCTCTTCACTCTGCCGGTGACCACCTCCTGTCCGCTGCTCCCACCCTTACTCCTAACTTGCATTTGGAAGACCTCCTTTCCTATGGAACAGTCTGTCTGCTCCCATCAGACTCTCTCTAGTATTCAATCATTTAAGAAGTCCTTCAAAACCCACCTCTTCAGAAAAGTTTATGGCCTTTAAGAGTAACTTCTATTTCACAAACCTGTCTCTAGCTCTCTCTTAGAGGGTCTCAATCCACTCTCACCTCCAGTTCTGCTACCTTCTCACCTTGTTGCTATCTACCTGGTTGCTATCCCCGTTCGTGCCGTTCCTACTGAGTTTGTTATACCCACCTCCCCTAGACTGTACGCTTTTTGAACAGGGTTCTTACTTATAAACCTATTGTTCCTGTAACATTTTGTAATTGTCTAATTTATTGTTAAATTTCCCCCTTTATAAGACTGTAACGCATGTGGAATAAGTTGACGCTACATAAATGCCAGTAATGAAAATCACCATCACAAAACAAAATATTTCCTGAAACAGCATGCCTCCTCCAGTCACACATTCCACTATCTGGAGAGCAACATATCCCTTAACCCACAGGGTTCACCTCCAATCCACAGCACCAGTGATGGTATGTCCATAAGGACACTTAAGACTATTCACTATTTTTTTTTTTTACCCTGTCATACACTGAGTTGGGGTCGGAGAGCTGCTTGGTTCTGTCATGACCGCAATATGTGTTTTGATTTGTATTTATTTTGCGAAAGGGTACGGCTAATTCATCACTTATGTCATGACAAAATATTTTGCTACAAGTTTCGTGTTGCAATAACAGGTCACCCACCAACATGTGACAGCCACTAGTACCATTTATTTTGATTACGCACAGCATGATGACAAGCGTTCTTAATACTTCTCATAGGAGAGGTATCTGATTGGTAAATCAAAGCAATGGTCATGCATGTGCCATGGGTCCACAGTGCTTCTCTAAGAGACAAAATAGATTGAACCCCTGCTAGTATTATACCCAGTGACCCAGCCCCCCCGCTAGTATTATACCCTGTGACCCAGCCCCCTCTGCTAGTATTATACCCTGTGACCCAGACCCCCCTGCTAGTATTATACCCTGTGACCCAGCCCCCTCTGCTAGTATTATACCCTGTGACCCAGCCCCCCCGCTAGTATTATACCCTGTGACCCAGCCCCCCCTGCTAGTATTATACCCTGTGACCCAGCCCCCCTGCTAGTATTATACCCTGTGCCCCAGCCCCCCCTGCTAGTATTATACCCTGTGACCCAGCCCCCCTGCTAGTATTATACCCTGTGACCCAGCCCCTGCTGGTATACCCTGACCCAGCCCCCCTGCTGGTATTATACCCTGTGACCCAGCCCCCCGCTAGAATTTTACCCTGTGACCCAGGCCCCCTGCTGGTATTATACCCTGTGACCCAGTCCCCCCTGCTAGTATTATACCCTGTGACCCAGCCCCCTGCTAGTATTATACCCTGTGACCCAGCCCCCCTGGTATTATACCCTGTGACCCAGCCCCCCCTGCTGGTATTATACCCTGTGACCCAGACCCCCCTGCTAGTATTATACCCTGTGACCCAGTCCCCCTGCTAGTATTATATCTTGTGATCCAGCCACCCGCAAGGATTAATCCCTGTGACCCAGCCCCCCCGCATGTATTAATACATACATTTTAATTTTTAAATTTAATTTTAGTATTAATGCTTTAATGTTGAGTCACCTAGAATGTTCCTTTAAACTGCATAATAAAACATGTCTGTGCATGCATAGATCTGATTGCAGATTTTAATGGAAATGAACAGGCAATGTGTCTGCACAAACAGGAGCTTTTCTCAGGCCACCATTTTAAGCCACCTTTAAATTGCATAAGCAGATTCTAATGCATTTCTAAAAATTACTGTCTATGTTAAACAATGATTGTAAGTTGCAGAAATCAGTATATATTTGGATGAGCTTGTCTTGTCTGCAACTCATACCCTGAATTTCCTGCATTTCAGGACAAGATACTAAGCAAGAGGCAGGATCTGCTGCCACTATCATTGACAATGTAACAAAACAGCTGGGGAAGCAAACTCTTAAAAACAAGGAACAGGACAATGGGAAAGCAGGCATGTACTCACTACTGTTATGGATAAATAGGCTGGAATACAACATTCTGCTCTGTTTA